TCTTTAGGGACCTCCTGTAACTACTGCTTATTTACTTGGCTGTAACACCAAATGATAATTGACCTGTTTATGTTCACTCTTACCCTTAGGGCCTCTTTTAAAGCTACTGCTGCTTCCTCAATAACTGTTTTTAGCTGTTTTCTTAACATCCGTTCCTCTTCAAGCTCTTTCCTCTGTCTCTTGGCTTCAGCTTTTGTTTGGTTTAGCACTTCTATTACTGTTGCATGCTTTTTTCTGTAAGTACAGTGGTGGTAATGCTATTAAAACACACTGAAGGAAGTATTTAATGTAAATTATTTTACTTATAAGCAACTTCAGGAGTCCAACCTGAGAGCATCAAGCTCTGTACATATTGCAGAGCGACTGTCTAGCAGCTCTTGGTGCTCCACTTTAAGTTTGGCACATTTCTCCACTTCAGACTGCATTTGCTTGCACTTTTCTGTCAACTGATGGACTACCTTGAGAAAGAGTCATGTTTCATTTTTGCTCTAGGCTATATAAAATGCACGTTTCCAAACAGCAAGAAAAAAAAAAGATTGCTTAAATGCATGAAAGTATAGACGTATAAACTTTTTTGATTAACCTTTTGATTAGCAACATTCTTCTTGGTTATCTCATGTAGCAGTGGTTCAGTGATGGCATTCTCTATTTTGAGCTGCTTTTCTCTTGCTCGCAGATCATCATTCTCCTTCAGCAGCTCCTTGGTCTTGTCTGAGAGCTGCTGAAGTTGTGCTGTCACAGAGAGGTTTTCTTGCATGGCCTTCTTTGTCGTCTCGGGCATCCTCTGATCTGAAACCCGCAGAAATTCAGCTGCTACAGCAGCAACATGTTGCAGCATTTCTTTCTTTAGCCTGTATCAGCCAAAAAGGTCAATTAAATAAAATGTAGCTTGTAGTTAACACATTTATTTTTTTACCAACTTTATATTTTTAAAAATACATTTAAAAGATATCAGCAAGGGAATCCAGCATAAATGACAGATAATTCCATGTGGCGACCTCTAACGGGAGCAGCTGAAGGTAATAATAATATATAAATATTTCAAACATTTCATATTGGTAACACTTTTTTCCATTTGTTAACATTAGTTAACATGAACTAACAATGAAAAATGCTTCTAAACCATTTATTAATTTTAGTTAATGTTATTTTCAAATTTTACTAATGCATTATTAAACTCAAGAGTTGTATGTTTAAAAAAAAATGTTTTATTATTGATATCATTTATAAATAAGGCCTTGCATTGCGATCTTTCATTGAAAATAGAAGATGAATGGAAAACAATCACCCATTTGACATATATGTAATTTCTAATGTTCGGCACTGATGGCTTCAGACCTCAAATAATGCACAATATTTATGAAAATTGGTCATTATTGATCCAGTCATATTCATCTAAGAATGCACTTCCCATGATCTCTGAACAATGAGTATGAACATGCTCACCTGTCATTGTCCAGTACAGCTTTTTTCTCCAGATTATAGATTTGTGCTTGATGTTCTTCTTTTTGCTTTTGAAGCTGCTCTTCCAAACACCTGCGTTCAGCCATAAGCTTCTCTCTCTGCATAGAGAATTCCTCCAAAGACGCCAGTTTACCAGCTGAACACAAAAAGGTTAACACATTTTAGTTTGTAAGGTGCTTTTATTAATACCAGGCACTTATGCTGTTTAATGCCTCAGTACAGCTAAGACCTGAAAAATCAATGTGACATTTTGAATTGTAATATACAGTATATCGCGTTAGTGATCATTCATATAAGTTTTTATTTTATTAGATGTTTGTATTCTATGTGAATATGTGACTCCTCAGAAGTACCAAGCGCCATGTTCTCAGATGTGAATTTTTCCTTATTTTCCTGAAGCTCGTGTCTAAGCAGGCTCAGTTGTAACTCGAAAGACTCTCTCTCAGCCTCTTGAGCTTGCTGGTGTCTTGATAACGTCTCAGCCAGATCAATCAGTTCATCTTCTTTTTGAGCCAGTGTGCGTTTTAGGTAGAGAACTATGTCTTTCTTCTCTTTCTCCACGTTATTGATCTTTGAGTATAAATCCTTTTCCTGAACATCCAGTTCATCACATTTTTGCTGGTATCTGCAAGGAAAAAAAGACAAGGTCACAGTTCTTAATAACGTGTATGAGGCAAGTGCTTCCTGTGGGTATGACATATTTGCTGAATTATGTTGCCTGGTTAATTATTAACAGTAGATTATAATCCAAAGTCTATTTCATTTTAGTTTCCTCATAGGCACAGACATGAGCTGCACGAATAACCTACACTCACAGTAAATATTATGAGCTCAATTCTGTTGATGCTATTATAATCTTGTGACCTATATTTTAATCCAACAATAGTTTACAGAGACTTCAATCAAGTTGTCAAATCAGCATCATCGTTAGGTGAGTGTTTGCTGCACGTTCTCATTACTTTAGCTACATGAATGTACTAGTGCATTTTTGTTTTTAGGTTGCTTTTTTTGTTTTTAGGTGTTTAGAGTTTTTTTCTGAGATTGCCTGAATTCGGAAGTATTTTCTTATAAACTTCTGACTAATGTAACATAACAAACAACCATGTAAAATAAAAGGTCGTGGTAACTTGCAAGAGACTCTTACCTTTCCATTCGCTCCTCCAAATCGCGTATTTGAGCCCGATAAAAGTTTTTGTCACTCTCCGTCAATTCTTCGTCGTTTTTCTGCTCAGGATTCATACTTTCCTTTTTAATTGATTTATCTCCGGTCCCTTTTCCATTCTTTTTGGGAGGCATTGAACTTTTACGTATAGCCTACTTTAAACGAAACAGCCTGAGAAGTACAAACTTGCAAATGCTATTGTTTCTTGTTGCCATGGATGTGAGGTTTGAGTTTGAGTTGTGTGTCAGGCGCTGCTCAGAGTGTAGCCTACATTGTGCTTTTTCACAGTCTTTCAAAATATTGTACAAAGAGGTTTGGGCCTATTAAACGGCCGTTTCACTTTCATTTTTGATTGAAACATGAGCTTTATCCTGTCATTTGCTAATTCTACACATTTCTCTAATGTTTAATATAAGATTAATAATTGCTTTACAAGTGTTAGTTCATGTTAAGAGATGTAAACAAATTAAACCTTATTGACTATACACTAAAAAATGCTGGGTTGAAAAGGGACAAACCCAGCTATTGGGTTGTTTTGACCCTTTTTAACCCAGCATTTTTTCGAGTGTAATATATATAGAGAGAGTGCTTTTTTACTTTTTACTTGGTTTGTACTCAACAAACTTGTATTTGAAGAATTAGTCTTGGTCTTTTTCGTGTTGTTCCGTTTTTTTTTTTGTTTTTTTTTTGTAAATCTGTTAATTAAAATTTGATATTTTGCATTTACTAATATTTACCCACTCACGCATAGGCTACTATTCTCTACAGGTCACAATGTGGCTTAAGGTCACTCTGGGTGAAAGGTACCCTGGATGTTGTCTTTTTTAAACATAAATATCACTATAGGCTACAGCACTTTCCTATGTAATACTGAAGCCAAATGTTTGGAATATGGTGGAGGCAGGGGCGTAGATTACGCGGGGGATGTGTCCCCCCACTTTTAATATCACGTAAATTCGTCCCCCGCACTTTTTCGGGCAAGTGTGTTCGCATAGAGGTTTTCAAGAGCCCGTGTGAATAAATATAGATTTAAATGAAAAGAGACAGGATGGTCTGTGGATGATCTGATGTTTTATTCGGACCCAGAAAAAGGCGAGATGAACATCGCGGAGCGCTAAACACTCCGTGCAGTGTATGTTTCATTCATTCTGAAATGATGGCTAAGCCCCTGGGTGGAGGACTGGATTTTTTTGTGACGGATGTGCTAAGAATGTGCAAAAATTAACTCTGTTTTACTTTATTATAACTCTATTTAAAACTTTAAGAACTACACTGTTCAGTTAGCAGAGGTTATTATAAAAGATTTGCAATGTTATAAATGATTTTGAGTTTTTGTCCCAAAAGTTGTGAAAATACATTTTTAAAAAGTCTTTCAATTATTTTTAATTATGTTAATATGAGTCAAATTTGACCTGAGGTTCACATGGGTGCAGTTTCCTAGAACCAGTTTAAAAACTAATGACTTTTGAAAAAGACTCTGACTCATTCTCATTGTCCACATCCTCACATATTTCTAAGAATTTACTTTACACTATATACTGCCCACAACTGTTGCAATTTCCTAAATTGTCCATGAGGAACTCCCCTTTTTATTTACAAAGTTATAAACAATTCATGTTAAAATTAGTATATTCTTACCGAATCTCCACATATGAGCTTCACTGGTGTGGATGACATTTTCATATAGGCCTAGTAAATAAGGTTTATAACAGTGTTAGCATTATTGTCTATGTTTTGTTTAGTTTTGCCATTTTTAAATGCTAAATACATTTTTTTAAAGTTAAAAAAGCTCTCTGTACTTTATCTGCAAGCTGAGCCACTCAGAGGCAGGCACAGGGAATAATACAATGATCTAAATGAGACCATGGGCATCTGCGAGCCTCAGTTGGTATTGCTGAACTGTCTAAAAAAACGCTTTTGGCGTACAATAACAGGCATTTTGTGAGTATGATGAAGATGCCAAGTTGCAGGGGAGGGGTGAGAAAGATCATCATGAGACACTGCAACATTGTAGCAAAGAATAATAGACCCGCTGCGTGTCAAGTGACAAAGAACTGCGCGTGAAACGCACACATGACAGCGATGAACTAACTCCCTCACTCACCGCGGGACAAGCCCCATGACCATGTTGTGGTTAATGACAGCTGAGGTTGTTTCAACTTTAAAACATGGAATGAAAGTGAAATTCGATAGCAATGAGTTCTACACTGATCGCTGAGGTCAGATATTACAAAATGACTTTGAAAGTTGAACTTTAAGGTCTTCTGATCGTATAAGTTGCATTCCCTGTATGGGTAAACGGTCACATGTTAGGGTAAAGTTACATTGTCCGTAAGACTTTTGTGTTTATAGTGATAGATGGTGCTTGTTTATGGATGTCTGAGAGGAGTAGAGAGTAGGTTCGGGGAGGGGAGTCTGCTCATTATGTAACTGCCGTTTGGAAAAGTGTTTTCGCGCTCAGCTTTCGGAGTCTGACATTCCTACAGTTCCATTGGGATTCGGTTAGACAACACAGCGAGAGCAGATCACAGAGAAACAACGTGCGCAGAGTACGTGCTCATCCTCATCCTGTCATATCGCATGTCGCACTTGTGTAGGATCTAACAAGGGTTTTATACAAGAGAATGACTTTAGTGAGAATCCGTTTCCGGTAGGAGGTTATTTTATGGTTGTTAAAATGAGTAAAATGAGTTTAAAGGATGTCTGAATAATAATGTACGCTATGTACTATGGGTGTAAGGAGTTGAAGTGTCCTTTAATGTTTATGCCATATACTTTCTGATACTGTAATATTTTTTTACAGCAAAACAAAGCGTGCTCATCCTCATTCTGTCATATAGCATGTTGTATTTGTGAGCGGAGGGATTTTTTTACTGAGAACAAGTGAAGTGTTTGGGAAGTGTTTTGTAGAGGAGAATGACTTTCTGAGAATCCTTTTCTGATTTGAGGTTATTTTATGGTTGTTTAGGTGACGTCTGATTTATAATGTAAACATCAGAGTAAGGTGTTGAAGTGTCATCTTATGCCATATGTCTTGATGTACTGAAAAGTCATTTTCTTAATAAGCGTTTTCTTGTTTTTCAGTTACAAAAATAACATCTGTTACATTTGTATGCAAACAAAATTGTGGTATATTATTGGTACGACTTTAATATACTTTCTATAACCAAAAAAACTAAATGTAGTATTATTTATGCTTAAAACATCAAAAAATAAAAAAAGGATGAAAAAACTTTCTTTCTTTTTATGTATTTATATGTCTATACTGATTTTTATATTTATACTGGAAAATAACAAAACACTTGTTAAGAAATTCAGATTTAATGAGTCTTGTGGGTTTTGTCCGAATGTGCGTTGAGCAATGTGTGTAGCGTTTTGTTTTTTAAGTAGGTTTTTTTTTTTTCAACCCAGAAGGCTATGTTCAGTACAGAACGTTAAATATCTGATTGTGAAACCGTGAGAGGGAACTGGTGTTGTAATCTCTAAGATATTCAGACTGTCTGGCATGGAGGCTTTTTGTTTGGGAATGGACACAGCAGGCTGTAACTGGGTGTTGTCAGATGTGTCTGTGGTCCAACAGTTGTGTAAATGCATCCCCTAATACACTGAGGATATAGTGGTCATTGGAAAGAACAGTTTCCTGCCTTGGAGCCACCTGCCTATCACTTCATACTCAATGTGAAGTTATGCTTATGAATAAGTGTTTCCACTCAGAAACAAACGCATGACTCATAGCTCATTACCATATTTTCACATTGGTTACCACAATGGTCTAATTTTATCACTTTTCTGCATTTACAGGCATTCAGGTCTCATGGAAAACAGTGCCGTTTATGTAAAGGTAGGCTACCATGTGATACTTGTAATATATTAACTTGACAGGTTTCAGGGTGACATTGTGACATTATTATTAAGGGGAAACTTAATTAAGGGGAAACTTTCAGTTTTTGGTGTATGGCTTTCAGTCATATAGATCATTACTATGAAGGGATAGTTCACACAAAAAGGAAATTTCTGTCATCATTTACATTCCAAACCATTCCCATTGACTTCCATTGTATTTTTTTGTTCATACAGTAGAAGTCAAAGGAAATTGAAACTGTTTAGTTATGAACATTCTACAAAATATCTCCTTTTGCGTTCTGCAGATGAAAGAAAGTCATGCAGGTTTGGAATGGCATGCAGGTGAATAAACAAATGACAGACTTTTTATTTTTAGATGAACTATCCCTTTAACTTTTGGTAAAAAATGATGAGCACTGACAATTATTGATAAAAAATCGCTGCATTATAAAGGTTATTTTGTTTTGCTGGTGACACAAAGTGTTGGTCACAAAGGATTCTGAGAGCTTTGCTATTAAAATCTAATTGAATTAGGATGGGTGACACAAAAGGGCTTGGACTGCTGCCCATGACTTCAGAATGGTTGAGGACAAACAGGGTTACTGTAGGCAACCAACTGTGCCAAATGTTGCTGTTTATTTTAGAGCAACTGAAAACGGGCTCACATTTAAATAGAACTGTTTCATATTATACCACTGATAGGCCTAGTTGTTGTAGCATCTAAAACAAAGGCAGTATTTTCACCATTACTGTCGTTTCTCTTTCTGCACAATAGTTACTTAACATGCAGGACATTTTCCCATCATTTAAGTCCAACTTTATCAGTTTTATTGCTCCAGATGAACATATAAATAGATTGGATAATGGGGCTAGTTGTTGCTTGTGAGACTCCCCACAATGCTGTTAGCATATATTACTGCAGTGATATACTGTATATTGGCCTATTATGAACTGTAAACACAATGATGTTACCTTAACAGCTGAGAACCGCAATCTAGATGTGAGTCATTTGTTTCATAGGATGTTTCTCATGATTTCTTTGTTCTTATGGTTTCTCATCATTGCTTTATTTTCTTTAGTTTTCTAAAGAGACATGCCAACTGAATTCCCCATCAGACAAACTGAAGCAAGAGTTGGAACAAGAGTTGAAATTAAGCAGCTGTAACTTATCAAGTCATGGCTGGTACCATGGTCGCATACCTTGGGAGGTGAGTTTATAAATATTTTTATGTACACTTTTAGAAATAAAGGTTCCAAATGATGTTTTCCTAGCAATGCCATAGAAGAACCATTTTTGGTTCCCTCAAAATAATCTTTTAGTTAACAGTTCTTAGAAGAACCATTTTTTGTCATTCGGTGAAGAACTTTTTAATATTCTAAAGAAACTTTCTTTATTGTAAAAATGTTTGCGGAATGGAAAGCTTCCATAGATGTTAAAGGGGTCATATGATGCGATTTCAATTTTTCCTTTCTCTTTGGAGTGTGTTCATAAAACGATAGATACCAATAAAGAACCATTATTTTTAAGAGTGTAATATTTAATATCCTTACATATTTACATGTTCTTGGTTTGACTAGTGTGTCCCCATCTCAAAATACATTAATATAATGGAAATTTTGTACAGTATGACTTAATAATGGCTTTTTACAGGTTTCTGAGTCTCTTGTGCAACGGGATGGGGATTTTCTAGTCCGTGACTCCCTCACTAGCATTGGAGACTATGTCTTAACCTGCTGCTGGAACCAGAAAGCTCTTCATTTCCTCATCCACAAGGTTCTGTTCAGATCTTATGAGACATATATTCGTGCACAGTACTTTCTGGAGGAGGAAACGTTTGATTCTCTGCCAGCACTTGTTCATTCCTATGTTGGAAATAAAAGGCCTCTGACAAAGCAGAGTGGTGCCTACATTTACTCACCAGTTAACAGCACACTTCCACTAAGATACCTAGAAACCATGTTTGGGCTTCCAAGTGTGGAAAACAGCCCAGTAAACTCACCAACCAGACAGAAGGGAAGCCAAAAGAAGAGGGAAAGCATAACTGTGACAGAGGCTTTGGAAATTGAGCTGATAAGACCACAGAGGTGAGATTTATGATAGACACTGTTCAGAAAATCAGTCGTTGATATTAAAAGAGAACTGTGTAATTTCTGAGTCTTAAGCATCAACAAACAAAAATAATATCTGCAATTGGTCAGTCAAACACATAGCCACACCCCAAACACATTCCATTGGTTGAGGCAGTTGTTGTTGGGCTGGTCGGGGTGTTTAAACAAACAATGTTTGATAGCGACCGCAGTTCCACAAACTGTGTCAATAAAGACAAAGATTTTAAATAACTGCTGTTCATTTGAAAATGTCAATGTATCACAGATTCCACAAAAATATTAATCAGCATTTGAGTACCAATACTAACTGATAATAAATGAGCATATTAGAAACAGCATTTTAAAATGATTTCTGAAGGATCATGTGACACTGTAGACTGGAGAAATGGCTGCTGAAAATTCAGCTTCGCCATAACAGGAATAAATCACATTTTAAAATACATTCAAATAGAAAACAGTTATTTTAAATTGTGATAATATTCCACAATATTACTATTTTTACTGTATTTTTTTAAATAAATGCTGCCTCTGTGAGCATAAGAGACTTCTGTCAAAAACATTAAAACATTTTTTGTACATAATTCTCATCCTGTAAATGATTAGGTTTTGGTTTTTAATGTAATTGATTGTCCTGTACTGTATTCCACAGTGATGTTGTGAGGAGTTTTGAAGGTACCATAGAGCAGCGCCTTGTGGTGTCAACTTCCCCTATAATAATGAGCACATGTAAGATTCATTTCCCATCAAATCAATTAAAACCAGAAAGTATGAGAATAGCATTGTGACTGTGCATCTGCTTTTGTCTCCAGTAGCCAGGCGGCGACAGAGCCCCTCTGAAAACAGGAAGTTTGTGATAGTTCCTTCATCACCTGTTCTCCAAAAGTCCAGTGAAATACGGCTTTGTTCATCTCCCCCTGAAAACACTCTCATATATTTGGAGCCAACAGTACATCTTCTGTCCTCCATGACACATTCCCATCAAAACAACAGAGAAGCAAACCATGCCCAAAATAACCCAGCAATTTCTCAGGCTGACCCTGTGGCTACAAATCATCCCTTTGTAAGACATGAAATGCAGACTTTGGATTGCAGAGAGGAGTACGATGAGGATTATTTAGTGCCTTTCACCATGGACACAGATTCCTGTTTCAAACCTAGTGTGTACCAGTCACCACTGATGCCCCCAGAAAATAAACCTTTGGAGACCAGAATACTGAAAAAAGTGAAGGATGTCCTGTTTGAAGTTGATATAAAGACATTGGCAATGCATATCACCAAAGTTGACTGCATGGTAAGTTTGATTGTATAAATGTTTTGAGATTAGATTACTTTTCATGCATTCAAATAGCTGACACTTATTATGGCTGCACAGTTAATCAGAATGTTTCAGAGTGAAGCACATTTATACACGACCAGCTTATAAGTCAGTTTTTTTTTGTGTGTTTTTCTTAAATACTAAAATAGTTTTTATTGTAAAGTTAAATATTACAATGGTAATATTTCTTCATTTGTTTATTATTGTTTTTTATAGTCATATTGATAAATAATCACAAAATGATTGTCAAATTGAAAAAAATCACATTTTATTATTATTATTATTACATTTAATCTTGATCTTCTGAACATTTAAATATGTTATTTTTTCAAGTATATTGTGTATGACAAATAAGACATCTGTGCATTTGAATAACATGATTACTCATCTTCACTCTGCAGGTTGCTCGAATTCTGGATACATCTGATGATATGATGAAAGGGATGAGGGTGAGTTCAGGACTGGAGCTGCTTACCCTCCCACATGGACATCATCTCCGTCAAGATCTGCTTGAAAGGTTGGTTATCCCCACTTTGTTCAATAAATTCTTTTTGTGAGATGACAACCTCTACATTAAATGACACCAAATAACTCTTTTTTTGCCCCTCAGGTTCCACACCATGTCCATAATGCTGGCTGTTCAGCTGCTGGGCTGCACGGGCAGCGCTGATGAAAGAGCCACCCTGCTGCATAGAGCCATCTGCCTGGCCTCTGAACTCAAGAGCAGTTTGGGCAATTTGTTTGGCTTTGCCACAGTTATGAAATGCCTTGAATTACCACAGGTTAGGAAGACTGATGAAAACATTTCTCTTGAACTCTGAGGAAAAAATGTTATTAAGTAGTTTTTTAATTAATAAAAATAAATGTTTCATGAGAATAATTTTTCATAAGAATAAATAAAAAATGATAATAGTAAATCTTGTGTTTATAATGTTCTAATGAATCAGTCTTCTCCTTTTTAGATTGCTCGCTTGGATGAGACATGGACAGTTTTACGTCAGAAGTACACAGAAAGTGCTGTTCTTTATGAGAAAGCCCTTAGACCCTCAATTTGGACGATGAATGATGAAGGTATTCATTCACACAAAGTTGCTTTAAAGATTCTGTTTGCTTACCATTTCAAATTCTCAAGTGACAACTTCAAACTCTCTTTCAGAGATAAGTAGACCCACAGACACAACTTTTCCCCATGTGCTCCCTCTGCTGTCTCTTCTTGAAAGAAATGTTGTGGCTCTTGAGGAGTCAGAGTCATGGGAAAGTGCAGACACTGGAGTGGCCATGGTCTTGAGCCATCTGGATGCTGCACGTGCGATCGCATGCAATGGGAGGATCTTCAGTGCAAATGCAGAGGCTAAACTGCAGGGTAATGGCAATTTCTAACGGGTACAGAATTTTAGGACTATTTAGTATATCTGCACTTTCATAAAGACAACAAATGGTTGCATTTATTAAACCCTGTCTACTTTAAAGTCAAGGTATAAAAAATAAACAGAAAATTTGCATGCATGCTATAAATGAAATGTCATTCAAGTAACACCCAGTGAACGTTATGTTTTAGGTGAGGTGCATATAATGTTACTTATTTCTGAATTTTTCATTTGCAGGATTTCAAGAGGAAGCAGATGTTTGGGAGGTCTTCCTCACAGAGTTTCAGATGCGTCTCCTGTGGGGAAGCCGTGGAGTGGAAAGAAATAAAGATGAACGTTATTCAAAGTTTGATGAAGTGCTAACAGCTCTGTCCAACAGGCTTGAGCTTTCCGACTCAGCAAAATGACAGAATGGATGACTGCTAGTCACATACTATTTTCAGAATATCCACTATGTTTTATGAATTTATTTAGTTATGTTGATTTTTTTTTTTGTTCATAGGTTTATAAAGGAGATGTATGTCTGCCACTGTATATAAACTCAACATATCTTGCCATTTTAACTTATTTGATTTTCAATGTTATTATTTACATAGTGTACATAAAATCCATACCCAAAGTTGTATTTTCAAGACAAAATAACCTTAACCGTGCTAATATTGTTAACTTTGAACTCTGAAGTATGTGTTTAATTGCACTGTTATTGGTTCTTATAATCAATAATGACCAGATAATGGGTAATATTTACTCGTTGGTGCACGTTTTGGAGATTTTAAGATGATATATTTAACTCTACTATTTCATACTTACATCATTTAAAAATAAATTCAGAGCTGATTTATTCTTTGGTTTTCTTCCATTTAAGTTACTGTGGTGTATGTTTCCAAGTGAAATGTTTGTTTATCTTATTTATTGCCATGCATTTACTGATTTGAAATTGTAGTGTATGTACTTTGATACTAGTCGCCACGTCATAGTAAAGTAAATCTTGGGTCAAGTGAATCTCTTATGTCTAATTTATTTAAACATTATTGATTCAGAATCATTTTCACTCATCATGGCCTATGCATAGGCCTAGTTCTTGTGTAAGAACTTTTATTTTTAACATGCTGATCATAATCACAGGACACATTTTTTTTTCTCGTTCATGTCCGATTCGTAATGATTCGTAAACAGGCGACGTGCCTAGTCATGCTCTGATAGGGCGAAAGGTTACTACCCTTAAGGTAGAGAAATAGGTCTGCATACTGGAAATATGTTTAGCACTTAGGCTATACGAAGAATGTAGGCTAGCCTATCTAATAGCGTTGTATTAAAAAGTGCGAAATAATTCTGCAAAGAGATGCAAATACAGTTTGTAAATGCATATTTAGGTTGTAAATTATGTTTTTTATGACATAAATCATGGCTGCAAATTAAAAATGATATTGGGACACGTAATTTTACAATTAATACCGTTATAAAACTTGTTTGAACAGAAAAACAAATTTTTTTATTTTATTTTATTTTGGAACCCACGGATATACGCAATTACGTCACGACGTAAAAGATTCAGTGAGTCGTCCCTTCTACTCGAACCGCTCGAAAGAACCGATTCGCGGAAATGTGTGAAATCACATTTTTGTTTGTTGCCCTCTAGTGTCTGTGGCGCTGTAGCCGTTCTGCTTCCGCCAGCCAACTCATCTTGGAGCAGTGCTCCGAGGCTATAGCTACAATGATATTTATACTTCTTTTAATTTATTGTACGTCCTTAGGTACCGCTTTTGAGATGAAGTCTATTTTTTGTTCAATATCTGATAGCTGCGACTGTGACTTCAAACCAGACAAAAAAGGTAAGGTGTGGGATATGAACAGCTGTCTCTTCAGCATGTAGACAGCTAAGTTAGCGTTAGCTTCTCTAGTAACTTACTCAGTGGGGCTTACAGCTTCACCAGATGAAACCAAAGGATTTCTTTCAAGATAAAAAACTGACACTATTTCTTTATAACACATACGCCAGATTTAGCTTAACCATTAATGGTAGATGACAGCTGACCACACTCTAAACAAACGAAATGCTACATAGTTCACAGTGTATGTCTGCAGCTTTGTACGTTTTTATACAGATCACTTTTTGACTAGAATAAATGCTAAAATGCATTTACGATACAATTTTTCTGATGTTGGCTTCCTTATATGAATTATTTTATGTGTTATGTTTATAAATACATTTTAATGGCATACTAAAGTGCACATAATTATATACATATCAATTTAGCTGGGCAAATTATACATATTTTAGAGTAACAGACATTTCTTCATAACAATGACTGCATCAATACAATTTTAATATTATGACTTGACAGTTATATACTGGACAGTTGGCAGTCATTTAACTGAGATCTTATCTTACAAGTTAGTACTTAATCATTGTGTTTGTTTTTATTTGTACGCATAGCAAATCAACTTAATATGTGGTACCAGTAAATATCTCATGAAACAATCTTATGCATTGACATATGCTATTGTTTTTCTCTATATTTGGAGCCCTTAATGAATTGATTTGTCATTATGTGAGCTGTGTGTAACTGCAAGCTTTTATTTACAAACCCTTTCAATCATCCCATCCGTGTCTGTGTTTTCACAGGTTTAGAGTGGGACCTTTATAAAAACCTTTATGGTCAACATATGGCCCAGGATATTGTCTCGGAAGCAGTGGTGAATTTTTTACAGAATGAGAACCCAGACAGACCACTAGTGCTGTCTTTCCATGGAGCATCTGGGACTGGAAAAAGTCTGGTCAGCTCTATGATAGGACGACACATCTACGGAACAGCTATGGGCAGTCCATACATCCATCAGTTTATTCCCACCTTACACTTTCCTTTGGCTGACAGGGTGCAACAGTACAGGGTATGTGTGTTTTTATTGATATTAACACAAATCATGTGCATTTTAATATTTAGTTCCTGGATGAATACAGTTCTTTAGTTATTGTTCATTAACTTGTTCTTGTTTTGTGCACAGTCAGATCTAAAACACTGGGTTGAGAGAAACCTCACAGCTTGTGCTCGCTCAATCTTCATCTTCGATGAGATGGAGAAAATGCCTCCTGGTGTGATCGATGCTTTAGAACCACATTTAGGCCCCTTTCATGTTCTATTCCAGACAAACTACCGTAAAGCGATTTATATATTTATCAGGTAAGTCTGAATGACTGATCAATGGAATATTATTTTAAATGCTCATTATGGACAGGCTTCTGTCCTTCAGGGCAATATAACATTTCAAAGCAGAGAATTATATGTATTAAAGTGATAGTTCACCAAAAAATACTGTCATCATGTTCTCAATCTCAACTTCATGTCAATCCAAGCCCTTATGACTTAATCTCTGAAATATTTTGAATGAAACCTGAGAGATTTCTGTCCCTCCATTGAAAGTCTGGGTAGGATCCAAAAAGGTCACATAGGCTTCGTAAAACTAATCCATTTGAACAGTCGCTTTGTTTGAAACTATTCGATTCATATGGATTTGTTTTTTACGTTGCCTTCATGACCTTTTTGGATTAAGTTTTGTTTACTTGGACTTTCAATGGAGGGACAGAAAATTCTCAGGTTTCATGAAAAAATATTTTAATTTGTGTTTTTGAAGATTAACCGAAGTCTTGTAGGTTAGGAAAAACAGGAGGATGAGTAAATGATGACAGAATTGTCATGTTTGGATGAACTTTGCCATATCCCTGTACTGTTTTTTTTTTTTCCCCCCAGTACTGTAGGTCAGGAGGTAATTAACAAAGTTGCGCTGGAGAGCCGTCAGGCAGGTAGAGATCGAGAGGACATTCTCCCGAAAGAGCTGGAGGACAGTATTGCTAATGCGGTGTACAACAAAAAGAACAGTGAGTGTCATAGATCTTCATTTTAATCATGTTAATTGTAGCTGCTAATCTTAGTGCTTAATATATGTTGCACAATTTTCCTCTGTTAAGTCAATCTAATCTGTGGGTGACCTTTGTTTCCCAGGTGGGTTCTACCACTCCAGAATAATTACAGAAAAGCTTATCACTCGTTTTGTGCCTTTCCTCCCCTTGCTGCGGCGCCACGTGGAGCGCTGTGCCCAGCGGGAGCTCTGCCAGCGTGGGGAGTGTCAGCGGGCAGATGTGGCATCATCGGTAGGGGGCGCCATGACTTACACACCAAATGACAGCCAATACTTCTCCAGCACTGGCTGCAAATTAGTCCCGGCTAAAGTTAACCTTTTCCTTTGAGGGTTAAAGTGAAATCCCTTAAGGATCTTGACAGCAACTCCGAGCACAGAGCCCTTTGGATGATGGAGCTACAGAGTAAAGTCACCTGCATTTGGGGACATTCTCTTATTTGTATGTTTCATCCATATGGATGAGTTCTGATGAAGAGAGAGTAGAATTCGATAAATAACTCTGGTTAGATCTGGTTTTGCCGTTTTTAATCAAGCATGGATTAAGCCTGTTGCTAGTTAATAAAAGGACAGATTCAGAGAGCCGGCCTCAGTTCTCTAGGCCACTGAAACAACCTACAACACACTCAGTTTCAGAGTGCAGTTAACTACAAATCAAGTGCTCTCAGAACTTCAAAGATTGTTTATTTCATCGTGGGATATTCATTTAACAATGGAACTAAGTGCTGTACTTATGCCGACCACAGGGTGGCAGCAGTGCCTACTTGATACTTGAAGCAAGGTTTTTTTTTTTGTCCAACAATACCATTGTTATTGTTTTGTTTTTTTGTTTGTTTTTTGTTTTTAAAAATCATATTAAATATGTAAATAATGTATAATAGCTTTCTTTTAGTATTTAAATGGTTAACCAGATAAATCAGAAAGTTTTTGTAGCTCTTTCAGTACAATCTAACAATGTTAATAAGAATGTCTGAAAGTCAGAGTTCACCCAAACTGAATTCTGTCATCATTTGAAGTGCCGTTTGATATTTTCTTCTAAAATGAGCATTTTTATCAGGCTCCTATGTGTAGGTTCAGTAATTTCACTTTAATGGCAATGAATAGGTTCTGTTCATTGCAATTAAAGTGAAATAATTGAACATAAACATAGGGCCTGAGAAAAATGCTAATTTTAGAAGAAAAATTCAGATTGCACTTAGAGGCTTTTGCATCTAACTCTTCATTTACACACCCTTATGTCATTCCAGACCTATAAGACTTACCTTCTTCTGTGGGATATAAAAAACAAGATATTTTGCTAAGTGCCTCAGTGATTATATATATTCTATTCTGTCCATACAATGGAAGTCAGTCCTAACCAAAACCTATATATATACACACACACACACACACACACACATATACATATACATATACATATACATTTACATACATATATATACATATATATATATATATATATACACACACACACATATTTACACACACATGTGTATATATATATCGATCGATCGGCATAAAGTTTGGAACAATATGAGGGAGAGAGTGCATGATGACTTCATTTTCATTTTTGAGTGAACGTTATGAAAATACAGTCAGTGAAAATATATGGTACCACATCAAAATTAAGAAATGTTTTAATACATAATTCAATTTTTGTTTTATCTGAGAAGCCATATTGTCTAATTTGATTGATCTGAGGCAAATTACCAGCTTTGAAATATTACTTCTTTTTTCTTTTTTTTCCTTGTCCTCCTCCTCCGTTTATAAAAACTCACTGAAGGATTAGAACAAATATTCAGTTCCTTTATTTAATTTAAAGCACTAAAGGGAAAATAAAAGATACTTTATGCATGAACTGCCCTGATATAAATAGAAATGGAATCTTTAACCATATCCAATTTCAGTGTTATTCATTGTTGTTTACATTGTACAGTTATTCTGCACATTCATTTAGAATAGTATGCAGTGTGATGGAAATAATTTTTTAAAGGTTAAACCATTTTCTTCATGCACTTTTCTATTCATTGATCAGCCATATCCATCTTTATTGACCGTTTTTGTCTTTCTTTTTTATTTAATTTGAAACATGTACAGTAATGCAAAATTAAATGCAGGTACACTGCACAACAATAAAATCAAGTTTCATTTTTCAACTTGTGTATTTGCTCTTCTAAATACACAAGATCTTTTTTCACATAATGTTTTGAATGTCATGAGTTTTTTGTATACAGTATGTCCCACCCTATATATGACCGTTCCAAGTCTCTTGCTGTGTGAACACATAACTGTTGATCATGGACAGAATGACACAAAGCCCCCAACTCCCTCCGACAGCCCGTCTTCCTCCACTTACCAAAGGATATTAAATGTTTCTCAGCAGGAAACGCTAGCAGGTGTTAGTAGGTCTGTTGCCGGTCTGGCGAGAAGGACACCATGACTGAGAGCTGGACATTAAACCCTTTGAGACCATATAGAATTTTAGTGGATAAGCTCTTAAAGCTTTCCCTACCATTTCACCTGCAAACAAAGCACTAATACCCCCTTTGATGACTTCATCTGTCCCATCCAGTGTAGCAACGAGGCCCTCACCTTGGGTGGTGTCAAAGGAAGGATTTTCGACTGTTACAAAAAGCAACTAGATAATAACAGACTGACCCACCTCCCTCCCCCAAACCTCTGCTCTTAGCTTGACCCCCGTGCTCCCGTTCACACGCTCTCCAAAGCGGCTGCCCTCGCCTGGCCACTGGCCCCTTCATTCGGACACCTCTCCATTCTGTCCTAAATCAGGTCTAAAAAGGCACAACATCACCCCCTCCGCCAGTCCCCTCTGGCCCGGCTACAATACCCCAACCCCCCTCAACATCTGTGAGCACCCCTCTGTCTCCTCATTTTCTCCCTAACCACCCCATTATTGGCTGTCTTTCACTTGTAAATGTGGCCAGCCATAGTGCTGATGAGGCTTTCATCTGCATGGCCCGGGTCAGGCTGGAGTTAGCGGCCGGCCGAGGGGTGGGACGGAGGATGCGGTGGGCCTTGTGTGGCCCAGAGATGAAAAACAATCAGCATAACTGAGCGAAGTCCTTTTGAGGTGCATTCAGCTGAGACTTGGCTTGGCTAAACCAACTTTTGCCTCTTTCTGGCTGTGCATCGCTTATTTGGTTGCGTTTTGTGGGGTTGTGCTTTAGAGACTCTATATTGTCATTATTAACAATATGCTTGTTAATTAAACAGTGTTTTAATATTAGAAAGTCACATCCTAAAAACAAATGTTTTGGCTCAACAACAATGAAAATTAATGCAATAGTTTGCATCAGTCTTTTGGAGTTACAACAGCTTCTCAGTAAATTAATTTAACCAACAAAGATCATTTGTGTTGAAAAAGTTAAGTTGTTCCAACTAACAGTGGTGGTCCTAAAGCCAATTAATCTTATCTATTTCAGTTCAAATAAATAGCTAGCATAGCGCATGCTGAATGTAATATATTTAGCATGTAAATGCAATGAACAAGTAAGATATTTAGCAACATAGAAACTTTTAAGCATATCAAACATAACACGTTATTAACGTAAAACATACACATAAAATAACACTTAATTTCAGCATTTAATTTCCTTATTCAGTCCTATCCACATAGCATCCCAGCTAACAAAATTATGTTCTAAGAATATTTTGTTCAGTGTTATTTTAGTATCATTCAGATTATAGTTGTATATTTTCAATTTAATTTCAGTTAAAGTTTTAGTAATTTTGTTGTATGTTTTTGTCATTTTTAGTAGTTTAGATTTTTGTTATTAATAGATATCCTTATAGTTTTTATTTTTTATTACAGTTAAAGTTATTTTAGTAGCCTACATCAAGTTAAACTAAATTATAATGTGAAATGATGAAATAAAAAAAACTTTATAATTTATTTTATTTTATTTCAGGTATTAAGTAACATAAAATTAAAGGTTTTAATTTTAGTTTCAGTATACTATAATAACCCTTTTGCTAATGTTCCAAAAGTGAACACATTAAGGGAACGTTCCATTTTTTAACGTAGCAAACATTAAGAGAACGTTGGTGTTGAATGTTGTCTGAATGTTTAGACACAAGTAGAGTATATTAATGTTTAAAAAACTTGAACAATGAATAAATAATGTTTATGTGCTAACATTCTGTTACATGCAAACAACATCCGAAAGTTCTTAAGACATGATAACTTTTAACAAACAATCTATTAAGGTTAATGGAAGAACATTTGTTCATAAGTGCCTTGCCAAAAAAAAAAAAATTCACACAGTATTAGGTTTATTCATGCAATGATCAAGTTTATGTCAACAGAACTCAGAACAACACAAAGTAATGTTTGCAATTTAAAGGGTTATTAAATCAATAAATTAGAATTTTTCACTGTGCATGCATTTGTTTAGGTTGTGGTGACAGGTCTCCTGAATCTCTTTTTAGAGTGCAGTTTTACCATCTAAACATTTAAGATGTTAAATACGCAAATACATTTCACTTTCTGTCGTCATGATTTCAAAAGTCAGTATTTGCATCATATCATGCTCTTGTGAGATTACTTGTGGACCGTGTGTCTCTTCATCTCTGTTCTCACCCAAACAATGGGTGGTTACCGCAGCAATGGAGTCTCCAGGACAACAGGTGAACAAAGGGCGTTAGGAGGGGGGAATGCTGGGAGAGGGGTGGAGGGGCACCAGGGATGCCCTTGGCCTCTGTGTGGTCAGTGGGGGACATGGGCCTCTGGAGGATCTATAAGAAAATGTCTGTCCTTTGCAAGCATGAAATGATTGATAATCCTCTAACTAACTAAGACTCTGATGCTGACACTGTCAGTTCTTCCCTCCACATGATGTATGGCCTCATTTGCTTCCACGTGAGGTAGTTGCAATGATAAGTGCAAATTCCACTAACACAGCATATAGTCTCCATATCAGCTCAGTGATTCTCAGTGAAACTGGGAACATGAACCTCACACAGCAGTGCATGGAGAGTAAGTCAGTGTCTTTAGGATCAATGGAATTCATTCCGTTATAAGAAACTGTTTGTGATTTTGTAACCATTTAAATAAGATTATTTATGTTTAGCAGTCATACATTGTAGCAGAAGAAATGTATAAATTTCAGAAAGCCTGAAATAAACACATTTGCACTGGAAGAAATGCTTTACTAAAGAACTACTGAAAAGTACTGAATTAATAAAAAAAAGGCTATGTGTAATTTTTCTAAATTATGACAGATGAATAGAGCATGCAGTCCATGACTGCTGCAAGCTGTATTTTTTTTTATAAACAAAATCTATATTTTATTTTCTATTTAAACCGTTTTGATAATTAAATAATTACATTTATTTAATGTCAAGGGTCTTTTTTTTTTTTAAAGTCTTACAATAAACAAGAAAATATTGCTATGATATTTATGCGTTCTTTATTTTAAGGTTATGGAACCAAATCTTTATTTTTATATATGGTTCAAATAAGAAAACGGTATAAATTATCCTTAAACAATTTACTATTTTATTTAAACAATTTATTACAGTTTAGTTAAATGCATTTCAGCAGTTCAACAATATGCACTGATCACAAATGGAAAGTGAAAAAATTGAAAGTCGAATGCAAATGGATGACAACTATGTATTCGTTTAATGCTCTGCTCGTGCTGATTTTAAAAGATCAAAAGATCTGACCTGTGTGTAAAACTAATCTCGTTTAATCCTATTGGATTAACACACCATTTCTTTGTTGTCCTAAAGTCTGTAGCAGACACCTCGTACACTGAGAAGAAATCTGACAA